AAAAAAAAAAAAAAAAAACAATGAGATACCACCTAACCCCAGTCAGAATGGCAAAGATTAAAAACAAACAAACGAACAAACAAACAAAAGATAAGTGCCGGAGGGGATGCAGTGAAAAGGGAACACTCCTACACTGTTGGTGGGATTGTAAATTGGTCCAGCCACTGTGGAGAACAATATGGAGGTTTCTCAAAGACCTTCAAATAGAACTACCATATGATCCAGCAATTACACTCCTTGGTATCTATCTACCCAAAGGACAGGAGAACTCTCAATCGGAAAAGCGCTTGCACATCTATATTCATTGCAGCCTCATTCACAAATGCTAAGACATGGAACCAACCCAAATGTCCACAAATGGATGAATGGATTGAAAAAGTGTGACACATATACTCCATAGAATACTATTCAGCCATAAAAAAACAAGGCCCTGGAATTTGATAGAAAGTGGATGAATATGGAAGATCTGTTGCTGAGTGAAGCAAGTCAGGCTATGAAAGAGAGACATTGTATGTCTCCCCTTAACATATACTATCAGCACTCTATGGTAGAGACTGAAAGACTGGAGGACATACAAGCATTAAAAATTGTTATGGACACTAGAGCCAAAGTGGAAAGAGCGGGAGAGGAAAGAGCATAGGAAAGGAAATTTGGGAAAAAACTGGAGAGGTAAGGCATTTGTGGGACATGGATATATGGTTTATTATTTGTTGATGAGGACGTGCATATGTTCTCAACTGGGCTGCACTAAGGTGTGTGTCACACTGGGTAAAGTCTCTTTACAATCTAAATGATGTATAGCGATTAAATACACAAATAATAATTAAAATTAATTAAAAATCATAAAATAAAAAGTCCATTAAAAAAAAAACAGTATAATCATGTTGACCTGTGATGGTTTCTCTCCTCTTTCTCAAGCAGCAAGTACCCCACATTCTGGAAGTATGGGGAAATCACTGCCAATGTTCCTTCCCTGGGACCCATAGAGTCCCAGTTTGGGAACAAAGTTTTCCCCAACACAAGCAAAGACACCACATCCCCTCATCTTCCAGGAGGGTCATGGATACCTCCCCACAGGTCAGCAACACCATTTCCCCTGCCTTGTCCCACAAGCCCTTGGATTCTGCTACCTTCACCCAGGAACTAAAGTTAACACTACGCTTTTTTCACACTCCTGGATTTTGGGAACATCTGGTAACACACTGGGTATGGGAGGACACTTTCCCCCAACTGAGAAACCAAGGCTTCAAGGACTGAACTGGAAATAACAGTTTCAGGGAATTAGAAGAGTTGAATCCACATTGGTGCTTGTCCCAGAAGCCCCAAAGTGATAAGAGAAGCATACCCAGGAAGGCAGCAGAGATCAAGGAGTGCAGAAGAGGGAGGCGAAGCCAGGCAGATAAGGCTCTGGGCCAACTCCCCTTTGGGACCACAGCCAGAGAAACAACTCAACTGCTTGCATAACCCTTTTATTTGCCCAGAGCTACATCTTGTTCAGAAACTCTGCCCTGACAGGTAGTCAAAGAGGCATCCAGCAAGGAACGGAGTTAGCAGGAGAGCCCGTGGTAGTCTTTCACTACCTCACAGGAAAATGGAGGCCCACAACCTGTCCGCCCCACTCAACTTCACCCTGCCGCCCAACTTTGGCAAACGCCCCACTGACCAGGCTCTGAGTGTTATCCTGGTGGTTATGCTATTAATTATGATGCTCTCGCTGGGCTGCACCATGGAATTCAGCAAGATCAAGGCCCACTTCTGGAAGCCAAAGGGGCTGGCCATCGCCCTGCTAGCTCAGTATGGCATCATGCCTCTCACTGCCTTTGCACTGGGGAAGGTCTTCCCACTGAACAACATAGAGGCACTGGCCATCCTGGTCTGTGGCTGCTCACCAGGGGGGAACCTGTCCAATGTCTTCAGTCTGGCCATGAAGGGGGACATGAATCTCAGGTAAGGCTTGGGGTAAGGGGGGAGCAGCCTGGAATAGAGGCCACATTGCAGGTGTCACTGTTGTGGGGAAGAGCTGGGCCAAAGCCAAGGAGGGAAGGAGTAGGTGCTAGGGCATGGGGTGGCTGGCGTTTACTGTCAAGAGCTTATACTGGACTGGAGGCCGGAGCAGGGGTACATATGGGTTTAAGTACCAATTTGAAGTGCCCAATCTAGTCTACAGGCATCCTAGAGATGCCCTTAGTCCCAGAGGTGCCTCAGATGGGCACAAGGATTATCTAAAGGAGCACTGATTTAAACCAAACTCAAAAGGGCCTCTGGAGAACTGTACTTACAATGGTGGGCAAGTTGTCTGCTTTGAAGTCAGACATCTGAAATGGGTGTGATTGGTTTCAGGGAGGTAGAGGTGACTTAGAACCAAATGAGCATCTCAAATTCCTGCAGAGCAAGGAACGATTTCCGTAAAGGCCCTCCCAATATCTGGGCATATCTAGGATATCTTCTTTCACAGCCCTTATTTCCCTATCAGACTCAGCAACAAACACATCCATGCAAAGGAATGGCACAACCAGGTAGAAGCCCTAGGGTCTCCCAGCACCCATCCAGGTTATGCTGAGTCCCACTTCAGCCAACCTGGTAGGGAGAGACAAGCACATTCCCTGCCACCTCATCCAAAGCATTAGAAGCATAAATCAACAAGGGGTCACTCCTGGACAGCCAGCATATGGTGCTGGCTGAACCCCAGCTTTCAACAGGGGACACTCAAGTCTTCACTGCCTGCCGGGAAGGACATTTCAGACCTGCTCTGCTCCAGCAGCAGCTTGTGCAGCGGCTGGAGAAAACTCACTAGCAGGAGCTCTTGCTTTTATCCAAGGCTCAGCCTCAAGCCAGTTTCCTCTGGTTGGGTCCACAGTGAGATGCTATTCAGTGCCAGATGTAGCCATGTGATTCAGAATCCATCTGCTCACCTCTATCAGCACCTTGCCCCTGGCCAAACTTGACCAAGAAAGCTATAAAGAAGTCCCCCTTACGGATGCAAAGGGACACTGGGTTGGATTTTTTCATAAAAAAAAAAAATAGAGTTAGAGTTCAGATTTACCAGAAGCTGCCATCTGAGAAACTCTGGACTCTTGACCCAATGGGAAACCTGACATAAAGCAAGGCCTTGGCTGATGCGGCCTCCCACAGGGGTATATGTCAAAGTTCAACCACCACCTCGCTGTGAGGAAAGGCTTCCCTTTGTTTACTCAGGCTCCTGCCAAGTAAGCCCTCCATCTTTGCCAGTAGATTGGTTCTCTGCATCTCAAGAACCCAGAACCTACTTTAATTCCAGTATGCAAAGGACACAAGAAGTTGGGTGTCAGGGAAGGGATACTCTGAGTGCTTTGTGTGTTCATGGAAGGGACAGAGCAGGGGGAAACAGTGTAAAGGACAATGCGGGAGGCTTTACATGTAAGTGACTAGATGTCCCTGCCTCATCAGCTAATGAGGTTTCTCCAACAAGACCTACATCTCTATGGCTCTAGGCCCCTACTGGGCTGAGCCTCTGGTGACTCAAGACCCCCTCCTGCTCCTCTGCTGATCCCTCTTGTCTAGGCACCTCGGGACTGTCACTGCTACATAGACCCCCATAAGAGATGAACACTATGCTGGGATGGCTCCCTTTTGCCATAAAGCCCTTTCCCATGAGCATTAAACTGTGGCTCAGACCTCACTGGTGGGAGGTCAATCTTGCCATCAGCCATCCTGTGCTTCTAGTTATCAAATTCCAATTCAAGTTCACCTTGGACAGCTCTTTACATGGACTGTAATGATGATAAGTTACTGATAATAGGAAACAAGCAAGCACTGTGCTAAACACTGGACCTGGAGAAGTGCGTTATCCTCATATAGCCCCCCAGGAGGGGAAACCGTAATTGGTCACATGTGAAGATGAGGAAACAGTATTAGCTAAGACATTACATTCACTCAAGGTCTGGTGGCTTCAGACCCTGTGCTTTCACTCGTGTATCTTCGGAGCCACAGATCACAACTGAAGTGGCTGAAGGCTGCCTGCCAGACTAAAATGTCCGAGCCCCTCTAATCAGAGCAGAGGGCATGTAACTTAGCAGCAGGTATTCTGTGGGAGGAGGGTTTATAGCTGCCTCAGCTCTCTGCTTTTCATAAAAGGCAGAACCTTGTTTGTATGTAAAATCTCCAAATGTTTCAATTGGCAACTATTCAAAAAGAAACTTTAAAGACTGTGTAATCCGAGCAATGCATGTCAAAGAGACAGATATAGCTCAAAGGTACTAGTTTGAGTCCTTTGTTTAAATGTGATACTCTGCAACGACCTGCACAGAGTTAGGAGAAACTATTAAGACACCAATTCCATTTTACTCATGAAGAGACTAAAGCCCGGACACGTGTCAAAGGTTTCTTGGAATATGTGGGGCAGTTGCATCTAGAGGCAGCCCAGGGTTCTCTCTGGTTCCTCGGCCTCACAACTAGAGTGAGGCTGGGGGCAGTCTGCCCCCACAGTAGGACTGGCTACCAGGTGTGCTCTCAAAGCACTAGGCAAGCTTCAAAAAAATGTAGATGACATCCAGACAAGAGAAAATACCTTCCACATGCAAATAAGTTTGGCTTCTTGGGACAGAGCAGAGAGAGCCCATGGGAGCAGTCCTGATTGCCCTTACTGCTCCTCACGCTACCTCTGTGCTTTCATCATCAGACCCCAACAGAGAACAGAGTCAATGGCTATGGTGACATTAAGGACAGGCACAAGCCAAAGATTCCAGCAGGTCTCCCCACCATGACGTAGGAAGTCTAATAAGATCAGATGGAAGCCACTGGGATTTCCAGAAGTTTCTCACTTCATCACAAAGACTCTGAGAGGTCTCTCACAGCTAGCTCCCTGTCTCCGATCTCTCCAATAAGAGGAGCTCAAAACCGGTCCTGTGGGCCAGGCAATGGTGCAGCACTAACATTACTGGATGTACATGAGAAAGATCCTGGGCTTGAGTCCCATCATCTCCCTGAGCACATAGGATGCACGTTAATGCTCACGATTCAGGATGGCTGAGACTAGAGGTGGATCGTAGCATGAAAATCCTCTTGGGGGTGACTGTCTTTGTCTCTCTCTCACAGAATAGGTAAATATATAAACTTTAAAAACTAGGGAAAAGAAAACAGTCCTTCAAACAAGGTGTACAGATATCCAAAAGCAGTCCAACCACTGTTCTTAGAAATTCAGCAGAAAGGAAAAATTAAAAACCAAATATGAGGGGTAGCAATGTGGTAGCTAAGGTGCTGGACTTCCACGTAGCAAACTGCAGTTCGAGTCCCAGACCTGGTGACTTGCTTTCTCACTTTCTCTCTCACTCTCTCTCTCTCTCCCCCACACATGTGCCCTCTATCAAATTAAATAATAATAATAATTAAATAAATACTTCTTGAAAAAAATATATGTCCCTTTCTCCTGAGAGACAGCCAGGCCCACAATGCTACTATGATTCCAATCTCAGACGCTAAGTCTCTGGATAATCATAACAGTCACAGATAGCAGCAGGCGAGGAGGTGGATGTCCCGGATGAGCCTCCAGCACTTGTGCATGTGGAGGAAGTACCCAGGAGAACAGGGCTCCCATATACCCATACAGGCAAAGCACACAAAGTTCAGAGCAAACTCCAAAAATGTCTAACACACCAAGCCAAAGTAAGCATGACTCCTCTGCTCTAGGACACTAAACCACAAGTCGTGTATCTTTAATCCTGAAAAGAGATCATTAACTAGTCTGAAGCCCATTGTATGCCCCTTTCCAATCTCGCTCCTTTTTACCACACCCCAGATGGAGCATCTCCCAGAATTTGGTGTTCAGTATGCACAAATCCTTTTAAACTATTACCATATGTGTATACACTTCCATAAATAAGACATACTGTTGTGTTTGCATGTTCAATTTTATAGGGTATCTACTGTCCATATCAATTGACAACTTGCTTTTTTTTTCTTTTTGGGAAATAGGCATCTAAATAGAATAATTACATGCATTTGGCTGTATTTATCCATTCTCCTGTGGTCAGACATTGATGTGGATTTCATAGCCGCTTCCATAAACCATCTTGTGCATATCCCACTGTCCTCAGATGTAATAAAAGTAGAAGTGCTGGGTCATAAGATTCACACACACACACACACACACACACATATATATATATATATTTTTTTTTTTTTTGGAGAGGTTTTTGCTATAGGGCACATGCACTCACCAGAAAGAGAGAGAGAGACAGAGAGATAGAAAGTGAGAGAAATCACCCTCCAGGGGGGATGGCCATGCCACAATCCCTTCTGCTCCATTCTCCTCTCAGGATCTTGGGCACACACGCACATGTGTCCAGCGTGAGTTTAAGCCACTGCGTCCGGGACTCGAACCATGGTCGACTACATGGGAGTTCAGCGACATAGCCACTACACTAACTGCTGGTCCCAGATAAACGCATCTTTAACAATTAAAAACTAATACATCTCCAAAGTAGTTGTCTCTTCACACTTCCCCTAGTCGTGTAAGGATCCCTGTTTCCTCATGTCTTTATCTATATTTGCAATTGTCACATTATTTATTTACTTATTTTTGCCGACTAGTAAGTGTGAAGTGGATCACTCGTTTTTACCAAATAATGTACCATTTTTGCCAAATGATGAGTGTGCAATGATTTTATGAATGACCTAACACCTTTTCTTATGTTCTTTGCCAATCTGAGAGTACTCTACTAAAAACGTGACTGTCCTTTGCCTGGCATTTCTATGAGATGTTTTTTGTTTGGCTTTGCTTTGTATTATCATTCATAATTTGTTGTTTGTTTATATATGTTTAACAGTCTGTTTACATGTGGAGCTTGTAAATTTTGACTGAAATGTTTTATGATACAAAGTGCTTATTTTAGTCAAATGTACCAATATTTTCCCTTACAGTTCATGTTTTTGTGTTTCTTGAAGAAATGCTTTACAATCTCCAAGGTTACAAAGATACTTCTTAAATTTCCTGTGAAAAGCTTACAATGTTTGATTTTCATATGGACATCTTCAATCAACCTAAAACTTATTTTTATAGATGGTGTGGACTAATTTTATCTTTTCTATATTGTTAGAGAATAATTCCCAACACTGAGTAAATTTTTCTCCAGTAATTTGGACTGCTGCCTCTCTCATAAATCAAATACCCATGTGTTTGTGTCTGGGATTTTTCTCTTTTATTGTTCTATGTAGCTATCCTTGCACTAGTATCACATTTTCTTAATTATAATTTTATAATAAGTTTTTTTTTTTGAGAGAGAGATTTTTGCTATAGGGCACATGCGCTCACCAGACAAACAGAGAGAGACAGAGAGACAGAAAGCAAGAAATCACTCCTCCAGGGAGATGGCCATGCCACAATCCCTTCTCCATTCTCCTCTTGGGATTTTGGACACTCACGCACACACTCCCGGCGTGTGTTTTAAGCTGCCAGGTCCAGGACTCGAACCGTAGTTAACTATGTGGTTGTCTAGAGATGTAGCAATCATGTCATCTGCTGGTCCCTGTAATAAGTCTTAATATCTGAAAAGTAAGTTTCCCTGCCTTCTTATTCAAAATTATGTTATTCTTACCCTTTTACTTTCACTTGAATTTTAGGATGAGCTTTCAAATCTACAAAAAATACATTTGAATTTCTGAATAAATGTAATCCAAATGTGAACTGCATTTAGAAACTTTGAATTATATTTGCAAAATTTGCTTTACATTTATATGTAAACTTAGAGACCATCTTTGTAATATTGAGTTTTTCTGTCCATGAATAACTTTTTTTGTTTTTTTTTAAAGTTTTTTCTACAGGGTGCGTGCCTTCGCCAAAGAGAGACAGAGACATAGATGGAAAGCAAAACATCACCCATCAGAGTCGATGGTCAGACTGCAATTACTCCTCTTCCATTCTTCTCTGGGAATTTTGGGCATGCATACACATGTACTTGGTGTGATTCTCAAACCACTGGGTCTGGGACTCAAGTCAGCTATATGGGATCCAGCTACCTTAACCTCCATTGCCTCCTGCTGGCCTGGTATAGTTTTCCTTACTTATGCCTTCTTTTATATCTTTCTATCAAGTTTTATCATTTTTTTGTAGTTGTTTTTTTCTTCTTCTTTTGAGACAGAGCAGTAACCTTGATAGGGTCTTGCCATGACACCCCACCCAGCCTTCCAGTTAGCCAGAATTACAGGCACACACAGGTACAACCAGTCTGTTCAGACCAACCCAGGACCCAAACCCAAGTGTCCCACGTGACTCCAGTATCATGTAGTGGTGTCCTACTACTGGTGCCACTGTGGCTGGGCAGTTGTATAATTGTTTTTGAACAGATCTATCCCTTTTAGACATAGTTCTAAGTATTTTAGAGCTCTGTGAATATTATAAGTGATGTTTCTTTTCTAATAAAATTAATTTGCTAATTATTTGTTCCTATGTATTGAGACCCTCTTTACTTAGTTAGTTATGCTTATATACATAAAACTTCATGGATTCTCTTACCTGCTAGATACAATGGAAATTCACTTGGATTTTTTCAGTAGATGAAACTATCATTGGAAAAAAGTGAAAATTTAGTCTCTTCTTTTCCAATCCCTCTCCTTTTTTTTTTTTCCCAAGATTTTTTTTTTTCTATAGGGTATGTGCACTCACTGGAAAGACAGAGAGAAACAGAAAGACAGAAAGCAAGAAATCACTCCCTCCCCGAAGCGATGTCCACACTGCAATCCTCTCTCCTCTTGAGATCTTGGGCATGCACACATGTGTGCCCAGAATGATTTTCAAGCAACCAGGTCCAGGACTCAAACCACAGTGGGCTATGTGGGAGTAGTGACAGTAACCACTATACCACCTGCTGCCCTCCCACCTAGTTTTTTATTTCTTGTTTTGGTGTGCTAGTGAGGGCCTATGCATAGTATAATTTATTAAAAAGGTGATGATAACAGCTCCTCTTTATTCTTGATAAAGGAAATTCTAATTTTTCACCATTAAATTTAATATTTACTATAGATTTTACAATATTTTTTTCACATCAGGAATTTCCATTCCATTTAGTTAGTGTGCTAAATTTTTATCATGGAAGAGCAATCAATTTTGTTGAATAACTTTATGCACCTACAAAATTATCACACCCAATAATAGTTAACAATATGTAGTTAATAATATAATCTGAAAATACAGTTATATATATGGTTTATCTAATGTCAAGTCATCTTACCTTATTCACTGCATTATTTTTAGTTTAATTTTTTTTTTTTTTTTAGAGATTTTGTCCTTAAGGTGCATGTGCTCACTGGGAGAAGTGGATAAAGAAACTGAGAGGGAAGTGAGAAATCACGCCCCAGGGAGGATGGTCATGCCACACATTCTGTCCTAAATACTTTTTCCAAGATGATTACAATTTGACCCGTGAGATAATTCAAAGGTGTCGATCCCTCTGAAATCCTGTAATTATTTATTTCTCAGTTTCAATGTTCCTTCTTTCTCAGGCCTTGAACCTTGGTTCTAGTCCTTCCTTTGGACACTAAAACCTAAGCCTCTACGTTACCAAGGCTAACACTCTATTCCCGCCCGTGGCTTACAGTGCAGCTACAGCTTGAGCACACGCCCTACTTCATGTTCTTTGTTGCTGATCCCTGGTTACCTCTCTCTCTTTCTTACAAGCTCATGGATTTAAGTGTTCTAGGTGTTCATGGGGGAAGCTTTTTCCATTATTTAATTCATGATGTTCTTTTTCAAAACAATTTTCTAGACAGTGTGTGTGCTCAGAGACAGAGACATAGAGAGGGAAAGTGAGGAAGTACACCCAAGGCAGGATGGCCACACTAAAATCTCTTCTTTTCCATTCTCCTCTCAGGATTTTGGGCATTCACACATATATACCCAGCCATGTGTTTTAAGCCACCTGGTCCAGGACTCAAACCAGTCAGCCATGTAGGATCCAGTCACCTTAACCACCACACCACCTGGCTGGGCCAGCTCATGCTATTCTTTGAGGGCCCTAACAGCTTCTTACCCTTTAGGACACCTCCATCTACTGTCATTCTTGATAGCTATGATCTGGAGCCTTGGATTTAGGCTGCATTCAATGTTCATTTAACTATAATCCACCTCTGTGGAAATGGTGACGATTCGACAGAATATAGGGCTGTTAGAGAGACCCTCACATGATTTTCCTGGGGTCTTGCCAAGCCTTGTCCCCAACTTGCCACTGGGAGCTAGAACCATACATTGTCAACATGTCCACAAATCTAAGAATATTCCCTAACAGCTTCATTATCTCCACTGGGTTTTCCAGAAAGTCTCCCTCTTGACAGGGTCCTGGGAGTCACATCTCTGCGATATTAGGTTCCAAATGAGAAGGTAAAAGGAACGAGTAGGATACTCAGCAAAGCTAGGAGCATATATGATTCAGGCTCTGAGACTCACAATTTAAATAATGTATGGATGACCAGAAAGTAAAGAATATGAGGAATCCCCCCCCATGTCAAGACTGGAATCCACTCCAAGATACAAAGCAAGTCTGACCAGATTACTTTGTCACTTACTTAGCAATGGAGAATTGGTGCTGCCTCCCACTGCTCCACCATAGGGTTCACTGGTTATTGTTTGTTTCCACTGCTCTGCAGTATTTCTTCTCACAGTCCCTCTAATCGTGACCTCTGTTCACTGCTTTTGCTTTGTATGTCTTGGGCTTCCACACAACTATTACTTCTATGCCACCCATTTCCAAAGACCAAGTGCTCTATCACTGTCATACTCACTCTGCAAGGATAATGTACTTAATGTCATCAGTTCTTTTATTTTTTTAACAATTATCTTTTATTTACTTTTATTTATTTAAATCTGACCAGAAAGGGACAGGTGAAAGTGAGCGAGCGAGCAAGAGAGAAAGTGGGAAAGCAAGTCGCCAGGTCCAGGACCTGAACCATGGTCAGCCATGTGGGAATCTAGCACCCTTAACAACCATACCACCTGCCAGCCTCATCAGTTATTATCACAGTTAGAGCTACTGCACGCAGCCATTCCCTAGGCTGTAAGCCAAGCATTCAGCAACTGGGGTTCAGGAACTATCCCATGATCCAATGGGTATAGTCAAGAGTTTGGGGATCATACAAGTTAACTTCTTTCAAAATGTACTACGCATATGACAGATGCTCAAAGCAAAAAGTTCTATTACAGAAGGGGAGATCAGGGTGGCTCCTTTCACGATGAAGGACACAGGGATTGCAGTAGTCGATCAGACCTCGGTTCAAACCCTGCTTCAACCACTTACAATCTGTGTAGTTTTGGACAAATCTGCTCTTCTAGTCCCCAGCTTCCTTACTGGCAAAAAGGGGATGGCTTGCTTTACTGCCTAAGGCTATTGGAAAAGAAAATTAAGCCATTTATGTAAAGTACCTAGCGCAGAGCAAGGCACAGAGCAGACACCTAAAAAGTAGTCGGTACTAACAGGCCCCCTCTCTCTCCCTCTCCTTTTCCCATGTCTCCTACTCAGCATTGTGATGACCACCTGCTCCACCTTCTTTGCCCTGGGCATGATGCCTCTCCTCTTGTACATCTACTCCAAGGGAATCTATGATGGGGACCTGAAGGACAAGGTGCCCTATGTAGGCATTGTGATATCACTGATCCTGGTTCTCATTCCTTGCACCATTGGGATCTTCCTCAAATCCAAACGGCCACAATATGTACCCTATGTTACTAAGGTAAGAACCTGAGGGCCCTGAGAGTGCAAGGTGGAACGAGAACAAGAACGTATTACCATCATCTCAGCATATGGCTGAGACAAGTCACTGGGGCTTTTCCTGCGTGTTTCTTTGCTTGTTAAAAAAATAATCTACTATTGGCTGGGGCTGGCAGGTGGTATGGCGGTTAAGGGTGTTGGACCCCCACAGGGTCGACTACAGTTCAAGTCCCAGACCTGCCATCTTGTTTTCTCACTTTCTCTCTCTCTCTCTCAATCTGTCCTTCTCTGGTCTAATTTAAAAACAAATAAAAATAGATAAAAAGTTAAATAAAATTATTCTTTTTAAAAAAAATCTACTATTGATAGCCCCTAGAAGGGATGGCCATGCCACAATCCCTTCTCCTACATTCTCCTCTTGGAATTTTGGGCACACACACACATACATGTGCCTGGCATGATTTTCCAGTTGCCAGGTCTGGGACTCAACCATGCAGTTGGCCATGTGCAGTCGCCGTGTGTAATCCGGTCACCTTAACCTCCATGCTATCTACTGGTTCATATTAAAACACTCTATTTTATGTTGCTATAGGGCACATGCACTCACCAGAAAGACAGAGACAGACAGTGAAAAATCACCCCCCGGGGGGGTGGCCACACTGCAACACTTCTCCACTCTCCTCTTGGGATCTTGGGCACACACGCACGCACACACGTGTGCGAGTTTAAGCCACTGGGTCCAGGACTCAAACTGTGGTCGACTACATGGGAGTCCAGCAACAAAGCCATTATGCCAACTGCTGGTCCCACCTTAGAATACTCTTGAAAAGTTAGGCGACCACACACAACTATAAGGTATAATCATTAGTTAATGACAAAATTAAACTATATTATTCTCCTAGTTAAATGCTAAACTTTGTGCTATGCTCTCAGGATTCCCTGTCCTCACAGTATGACGTTTCCATAAAGTAAAGCATCACATGAAACAAGCCCTCACCACAGAGCACAAGCAGGTATTGGCAGAATATAAGATGGAATGAGTAAGGGCTGGGTGGTCAAGGAGGCTTCCTGGAGAGTAGGGACTTGAGCAAAACCATGAAGAAGGAGTAGATCTGGGGACCAGCAGATGGCATAATGGTTAGGCTGCTGGACTCCCATGTAGTCAACCACGGCTTTGAGTCCCAGACTTGGGCATGTGTGTGTGCATGCCCAAGATCCCAAGAGGAGAGTGAAGGAGGAAGGGATTGTGGTGTGGCCATCCTCCTGCAGGGTGATTTCTCACTTTCTGTCTCTCCGGTGAGTGCACAAGCCCTATAGTAAAAAATCTTTCTTTAAAAAAATAAATAAATAGATTTGAGGAAGCCTGGGGAGAAGCCCTATAGAGGAGTTCTGAGGCTATCCTGGCTGGCTTGACATGAACTTAGAGAGGAAGGAGGCCAAGGGAGAAGAGACAGAAGGAGGACTTAAAGAGTGCTGTGGCCAGGTAGGACATGATGCCAACACCTTGCCCATGAAAGAATCCCAGACTGCTAGAGTGCAGCTCTGCTGCCTCCACCAACTTCAACCTTAGAGCTCAGTCCCAGGCAGCCTGCCTTTGGCTGAGGGCTGACTCTTCGTCCAAGTCCTCAAAAAGGACTGCCTCTACCATCCGAGGGCCTGTTCTCCCCTCTGTCCTGGATAAATGCCTTGGGCCCAGTCCACAGGGCATGCTAGTAGGAGGCTCAAGCCCTGGCAACAGCTTCAGGGCTGAAAAAAAGGAGCTGCAAGTCAGGGGTTCAAGTTTTTTTTTACACTACCATTGTCTTAAGGGTGGTTTTTGCCTTTGCCCTGTCCCAATCCCATGGCCACAGATTACCTTCCCACCTGTTAGAAAACCACAATGTCATTCTTCCTGCCCACCTCAGCCCTGAACTACACCTTCCATTCTCTCCACCCTTGCGCTTCAGAGCCCTCCTTTCATGGAGGATGCGCTGCCCCTTGGCCCACCCGCCCACAGCCTCCCTGCTCTTCACTCCCATTTCTGAAACATCTCTGTATTGGTTCTTCACAATCGGCACTGGTACAGGTTCACATCTCTCATTTTTAAAAACCAAACCAACCAACCCTCGTTGGGATATTTTGTGAGATGTACCTCAAATTCCAGTCAATCTCTTTTCTCCCTTTTCTAGCCACGCTTCAGGAGAACTCCTCACCCTGCCCTGCCACCCCATCAATCCATTTCCTCTCACATAGTTTTCACCAGAATTCTCATAAGTAACATGTCCTCAACATTTTTTTTTGGAGAGGTTTTCACTAGAGGGCGCGTGCGCTCGCCAGACAGACAGAGAGAGACAGAGACAGAAAGCGAGAAATCACCCCCCAGGGGGGATGGTCACGCCGCAATCCCTTCTCCTCCATTCTCCTCTCGGGATCTTGGGCAAGCACACACACATGCCCAGCATGAGTTTTAAGCCACCGGGTCTGGGACACAAACCGCGGTCGACTACGTGGGAATCCAGCGACATAGCCATTACGCTAACTGCTGGTTCCCACATGTCCTCAACATTAACCTCGGCTATCTGAATCTTTTTCTTACCTCCTTCTTGGTCTCCCATCCACAGCATTTTGATGACCACCTGCTCCATTTTCTCTGCTAAATCCAACGGATATACCTGAAGCATTTCTTGACCTTTCAGAGCATCCAACATAGCTATTTCTGTCTCAAAAACTCTCCCTCTCGGCCTCGGTGACTCAGAGCTCCTCCTACCTCCTCCCTACCATCTCTGCAATTTCTCAGAAACTCTTGTGAGTTTCAGTGAAAGCTACTTCTCTGCATTCAGTCCAAGCCACCTGCTTCTCTTGCCAGAAATCCCCTAGCCCAGGATCTCCCACCATGAGATCAGGTCCTTCTCAGATTTGCAACTATCATCCATCACAGTAATTTTAAATGTTCTGAGGGGCCAGACCCCTCTTGGCTATTTGTGGTTCAGACCCTGGCCCCAGTGGCTTGAAAAATACACTGGGCACATGTGTGCACATGCCCAAAACCCTGACAGAAATGGAACAAACTGTGGCACGAACACTCCATTGAGAGTGTCTCTCTCTGGTGAGCACACATGCCCTCTAGCAACAACAACAAAAATACAAAAGTGTTCTGAAGGTACAAACAGCAATATCTCTTATCTTAAAGCTGAAAAGGCAGGGCCTTTTCAGGGTGGTTAAGGTGACGTGGATACTACATGGCCAATAGCACAGATGAAGTCCCAGAATCAGCAGCTTGAAAAAACAAGCCAACGGCAGGTGCCTCCATGCCCAAAATCCTGAAAGTGAGGGCAAAGGGACTGCAGCATAACCAACTCCCAAGAGGCATGCTTTCTCACACTTCCCACCCCACAACACTAACGCCCTCTGGCAATTTTTTTAAACTGTCTTTTAAAAGACACTTCAGTCTCATGCATTATTCCCATTTTGCAGGCAGAATAACTGAGGCTCAGATAAGTCACTTGGCAGAGCCAAGATTATCAGTTTCCTGTTCCTGCTGTGCTACACAGATCCTCTACTCAATTCCACAGCAAAGAAATGGGATCAAAACGCCCCCCTCCTAAGATTAAAAGTGCTGAATTACACCTGAGCTAGAAAGACTGGGACCAAGGGACCAGTAACAAGGGACTATATTAAAGGTGATCTACAAACCCAGGTAAACTTGGACCCATTTGCCCCTGGCTAAACATCCATGGTTAAACCACCAGCTCCTTTTGATTATCTTATACTCCCCAGTTGGAATCACTTGTATCAGGATGCAAAGACAAATGTGTGGGTCAAGATGTGAAGGCTGAAGTTTCATCTATGGCTCTTCAAGGGCTTTGCTTGCTCTTCCTTTTCCACCTTGTCCCATAAATTTGAGTGCCAAGCTGAAAAATAGCAAATGATAGGCCTAGCCTTCTTGCATTTAACCCTCCTCGGACCTTTCAAACTTCCAGTTACTACCTCTGACAGAGCATCTGCTCAAACTCCGTTCAACCAGTTGTATTCTCTGGGGTTCATTTAGATATGCCGCAATTGAATCTCAGAAATGTCCCATTCTGAAAGACAGTTCAAGTAATTTTTCAGTTTACCCATGCTAGGGTCTATGTGGTAGAGCAAGGTTAATGAACCTAAGCCTGATGGGGTCCAGGAGTCACTTCCACATTAACCATCCCTCTTGAATAAAGAAAGACCTAGCCAGCACAGACTCAACCACTTCACTTCTGCTTTCCTCTTACCTGCCATTACGGAGGAACTGGCCCGACTTTCCTTGGTCTCAAAGCTTCTGCCCATTTCGGGAACCAGCAGTTAGCGTAATGGCTATGTCGCTGGACTCCCACGTAGTCGACCGCGGTTCGTGTCCCGGACCCGGTGGCTTAAAACTCACGCCGGGCACGTGTGCGTATGTGCCCAAGATCCCGAGAGGAGAATGGAGGAGAAGGGATTGCGGCGTGACCATCCCCCCTGGGGGGTGATTTCTCGCTTTCTGTCTCTATGTCTCTGTCTGTCTGGCGAGCGCACGCGCCCTATAGCAAAAAAAAAAAAAAAACCTCTCCAAAAAAGCTTCTGCCCATTTGTGGGTTCTGCTGCTCCTGGGCTTCTGTATCCACCAAAACTTGTCCCTGTGATACCTCCCTAATTCTGCAAACTTCCTAAATGAGAGGATCTGATTAGTTCAACTCCCCCTTCTCAATCTGCACAGACTTTTGTGGGTAGTGCGTGGTCCTGGTCATCTGGGGGGTCACTGGCAAACAGACTGGCTGCCCATGAGCAGGTGCTCATCAGGACCAGGGCGATGAAGTCAGGTGATGCAGAACATGGAGAGAACCAACTCCCAGGTTGTCTCAGCAAAGGTTAGGGATACGATAGATTTCCACAGATGCAGGAACCAGCAGTTGGCGTCATGGCTATGTCACTGGACTCCCACGTAGTCGAACGCAATTCGCGTCCCGGACCCGGTGGCTTAAAACTCACGCTGGGCGCGTGTGCATGCATGCCCAAGATCCCGAGAGGAGAATGGAGGAGGAGGGATTGCGGCATGACCATCCCCCCTGGGGGGTGATTTCTTGCTTTCTGTCTCTATGTCTTTGTCTGGCGAGCGCACACGCCGTATAGCAAAAAAAAACCTCTCCCAAAAAAAAGAAAAAGATTTCCACAGATGGTAGAATGAGTGTGACAGGAAACTGGAGTGTTGAAGTCTTCCATAATGGGAGCCAAATTTAGTGAGTGGTTCTTACATGCCAGGTCTTGTGTATCAACTTCACTCTGACTCAGTGACTCACCAAAGTCTACATACCGAGACTGGCAGAGCCAGCTTTCCACTTGGGTCACACCAGAATCTGTCCACTCTGCAGTCGCCCAGTGTAAGAGGACAAGAGGGAATGATAATGAATACCCATCAAGAGGAAATAGGCTTTTGGATCCAAGGATAGTTCTTAGCCCAATGTCCCTATGTTATCCATTACACTCTTTTGACGGACTTAAAAACTGGCCATGGGTAAAGAACAAATCCAACAGAGGAAATCAATTTAAAATGCTAGAGCAAGGGGTCAGCAGCTGGGTGGTGGTTAAGGGTACTGGACTCCCACATGACTAACTGCAGTTCAAATCTTAGACCTGGTGGCTTGCTTTCTCATTACCCCCCTCTCTGTCCCTCTCTGTCTTTCTCTAATCAAACTAGAAAATAATAATAATAAATAAAGTTAAATGAAACAATTCTTTAAAAACAAAAGATAGTGGGGGCCAGCAGGTGGCATGGTGGTTGAGGGTGCTGGACTCCCATATGGCTGATCGAGGTTTGAGTCCTGGACCTGGTGGCTTGCTTTCTCACTTTCCTTCTCTCTCTCTCATATACTCTGCCCCTTTCTAGTCAAATTTAAATAAATAAATAAAGTCAAATAAAATAATTTTTTTAAAAAAAGTTAGCATCACTCAAAACATCTATTATATTTACAGTGGTCAGCATTCAATCAATATTTACCAGCTCTTCCAAGAACAGTTCAAGAAACAAACTAAAAGTAAACTCCCAGATGATCCAGATTTTAGTTATGAGAACTGAAGTTCCAATGACTGTGATTAGAGCCGGTCCCTGTAGCCTAGCGGTTAAGAGCTCCAGAAATCACATGGCTGACCACAATTTGAATCCCAGTCCTCATGGATTTAAAAACACACCAGGCACATGCCCCAAACCCCAAGAGAACAGAGAAATGGAGGAGGAACTGTGGTATGACCATGCCCCATTGAGGGGAGGGGAGGTGCTTTTTCTCTGTCTCTCTCCCTCTCACTCTCTGGTGAGTACACACACCTTCTACAAATACACATTCCCTCTGGTAATTAAAGAACTGTGATTAATATCTTTAAGAAAATATATGTGAAGTTCAAAAAGTTTGGGAAAAGAATAGTATTAAAGTATGAGTTTAATTTGGTGCTTAAAAAATTTGAAATCCATGCATAGTTTTATCATAATATTCATTTTCCATTAAATAGTTGAAGACCCTTCACAGATAACAAATTGAAACCTTAACCAGAAAAGTGAAATTTATAAGAACCAAAAAAAAAAATAAATTCTAAAGCTTAGGAATAACTATATTAGAAATTAATTAAGTAAGTGAGTTTAAACTACAGAATAGCCATAGTTGGAGAAAGAATTGATGAATTAGAAGAGAAATCAGTAAGGAAAATTCCAAACTCAAATATTAGGAGAATAAATATATAGGAAATGCAAAATAAAAAGTGAAGTATATGGGTTATAATTAACATGACTAGATAATGTCATTGAGCCCTTAGGGATAAGAGAAGGAAGATGAAGCAAAATAATATTTAAAGAGTAATGATCTTTATCTAGATTACCCAAGAAAAAAAAAGGAAAGAAACTCTAATTACTAAAACCATGAATGAAAGAAGAGGATTATTACATACATTACTACATATTTTTCATTTCAGGAGAAATAAAAAGGATTATCTGAGAATATTCCCTCTCTCTGGTCAAATAAAAATAAAGTTATTATTATTTTTTTTTAAATGCAAGGGCAAACTGGGAACTCACTAGTTAATAAGTCTTTCAGTAAAACTTGAAGCATGCGGTTATTGATGAGACCTATGAAAGTGCTTCCTATCCTGGGATAGAACCTGGCTGGTATGAGTGATGTTTTCTATTATCACATCACTTGAAACTGGATTAAAAACAAATGCACAGCTGTGCACCTGAAGTTTGAGCAATATTAGAAAATTAAAATATTACCAAGACAATATTGTGAATATACTTAATGCCACTGAATTGGACACTTAAAAATGGGTAAGTTGGGAAATTTTGTTAAATATTATCTTACCACAACTGTTTAAAATGTCACTAAGAAACATAAAATGCTACATATGTGGATGAACTAGAAACTGAACTAACACATTTAACAATTACAAATAACAATTTTGAGAAGTCTGTATATGTTGATAAATTTTTACTCAAAAGATGGAAGGGACAGAGAGCCTTAAATTTACACATGAACACGTCATTCCCTGAAATGCCCTTTGGAAAGGGCATGGACATGCGATTTTAAAGCTTGCATCTTCATGGTACATGCTGAAAATTTTAACAGTGAAATGTCACCATAAATCCACCAAATGAAAACTTTAAATACTAGGCCTGCCCCATGGTCTGACAATTAAGGAATCCAATTCCCACATAGCTGACTGTGGGTCAAATCCTAGCCCTGGTGGCTTGTGGATCACACCACGTATGTGTAAATATGTACTCAAAATCTCAACAGAGCAAAGAAATGAAGAGACAGCAACAGGACCACACTCCATTGTGGGATGCTTTCTCCCTCTCCTCTCTCTGGCATGTGTACACACCCTCTAGCAAATTGGGGGGAAACTTTTACAAATATTTAAGATGGAACTATAAAGTATTAACTTTTACAATACCATTGAAAACAATTGTTCCCAATAAATGTTGCTTTCACAGCAACCTACCTGTGGACCTGTAGTTTCAGGCCGTGAATCTATGGGCAGAGTGGACCTGTTTCCAATGATGCTATTACACCAGACATTTCTCAAACTCCTTTTGGGAACTTCCTTTATATCCAATTTGCAGACCATTCAAGTAGGCTTGACTGTTTATGGCTACACAAAATTTGGGATTTAAATTTAAATTACTTGGCTACCCACCTTACTTACTGTTTCAATGACTCCTGGCCAATTCCCAAAAGTCAAATTCATCCTAATATGGATACAGTCCCTATCTGTAATGGAGGTATTTTGAGATAAGTATGACAAATTCTAATGAGTTCCAAAATATTTGGAACAGTGACAGTATTGGAGGACTATGTCTATCACCTCCAAAAGTGACTAATAAAACAATTTACAATACCTACTGTACCTAGTTTCATACCTTCAGTTCTGCTTCGCAGAGAATTTGCTATCTAAAAATAGATCAAAAGCAAAAGCTGTGCTTGGCTAAGTTCATTTTCTTTCTTTCATAAGAAATAACCCTGACAGGATCTCATCATAATACAACCCCCTTTACCCAGCCCTCCAGCTAGTTAGGACCTTGGGCATGCATGTACCCGACACATTTCAGGTTGAACTAAGATCCAAACCCACAGTGGGCCACATGGCTTCCAGTACTGCAGTCAGTATGCTATCAGCTGTGCCAATGACTCTCGGTTGAATTTTTAGTAATACAAGAGCTAATGAACTCTGTTCTCTAAGCTTCGTAGCTACCAATAAGAAATCCAAAAAGATGGAAAATAAAGGTCTTTCACATTCTCTTCCATTTCAAATACCGTTGGTTTCATTACAATGTTTTCCGGGCCTGGAAGGTAGCATGGCATTGAGGCGCTGGACTCCCACATGGCCACCCACGACTCAAGTCCCAGACCTGGCGGCTTGCTTTCTCACTTTCCCTTTCTGTCTCTCTCTGATCAAATTAAATAAAATAAAATAAAATAAAATAAGGTCTTTCCACCATCTTTCTGTGCCGCTATAATGGTGTGCATGAATGTCCTGGCTGATGCCCTCAAGGGCATCAACGATGCTGAAGAGAGAAGCAAACGCCAGCTTCTTAGGCCGTGCTCCAAAATCACTGTCTGGTGTCTAACTGATGAAGCATGATTACATTGGCGAATTAGAAATCACTGATGACCAGAGCTGGCAAAATTGTTGTGAACCTAATCGGCAGGTTAAACAAGTGTGTGATCAGTCCGATTGGTGTGCAACTCAAACATCTAGAGAAATGGCAGAATAATCTGCCCCCATCGCATCAGTTTGGTTTCATTGTACTGACCACCTCAGCTGGCATCATGGACCATGAAGCAAAATGGAAACATACAGGAGGGGAAATCCTATGATTCTTTCTAGGGGTGTAACACACACATACAAATAAAATGCCTCATTGGAAATAAATAAAATTAAACTATTTTTTAAGGAATTATATACATTCATTCATTCATGCATGCATGCATTTATTTATTTTGACCAGAGGATGGAGAGGAGGGAAAGTGAGAAAGGAAGCCGCCAGGGCAGGGACACAAACCTTAGTTGGCCATGTGGGAGTCCAGCACCCTTAACCACCAAGCCACCTGCTGGCCCCAATAAACAAGTAATTCTTGAAAAAAATAATAAAATAAAAAATAAAAGTTTTCAATCTCCAAATCCTCCCCACCCTAATTGTCTTTTTTCTTGTCCTCTCGCATAGGCGGGGATGATCATCATTCTCCTGCTCAGTGTGGCCATCACGGTCCTCTCCGTCATCAATGTGGGCAAGAGCATCATGTTTGTCATGACGCCACACTTGCTGGCCACCTCCTCCCTGATGCCCTTCATTGGCTTCCTGCTGGGCTACATTCTCTCTACTCTCTTTCGCCTCAATGCACAGTAAGTTTTATTTTAAGTTCTACTATCCCAAGGGCCTCATTATCTCCTGGTCTCTCAGAAAAATAAAAAGCTAAGAACCTGGGATGAGCAAAACCTTTTCTGACCAATATGTTCAAAATGCACCAACAAGGAAATTTGGACTGTGGAAAATACTGAGGAAAGGTATTGAATAGGTTAGAAACCCAAATTTAATCCAGACACCAAATGCAGCTAAGCATCCAAACAGAAACAATGGCTAAGTACCCTCCTCCAAGGCCTAGAGCCATGTCCTAGCCAACTCCTGGGTTAAGGGCACCTGGGATAGCTTCATGTTACTGTGATACATGTTGATCATACTCCTCCTTCCTCTCATCTCCTTTTCTGCCTAGGCTTTAGTCCCAGCAAGGGCACATCAGCTGTAAGCGGCACTCAAAACTGAAGTAGACTTGGAACTCAGCAATAGCTCTCTCTAGGGGAATGGTCGGTTAGAGGTGTGGGAACATTGGGCTTCCTGCTTCCTCTTTTCAGCCACAGTAGACAAATGCTTCCACAAAGCAGCATTCCTCAAAATATTTTTAAAACAGAATTTAAAAAATAACCAGTTTTAAAACCATGCTATTAAAGGACCAATTACTATGGAGTGTAATACATGATGTGTTCCAAAGATAGACACTGAGACTCAATAGTTTTTGAGGTTTAATCATGTGTTTTAGTTAAAGATGTCTAAGCCAGAAACTCAGGAACAGAACAAGGTCCCAGGCCTTCCAGACAGCCATCTTCTACTCTATGTTGAAATTAACTTTCTATAAGCCCAACATAAGCAATGACTTATACTGGCTCGCACCTTCTCCATCCCCCAACCAGTCAGGCATTTCTCCAACTTTTAATTTGGCAATCATAAACAAACAGATAAACTAAGATTTCCAAGCCACTCAAAAAAACTCATAAAAAAATTCCTGGATTAGTGTTCTGAAGAAAAGGGTCCACTCCACACATCTTTCATCTCCCAATGTTACTGTTCAGGGAGTCCTGGAGTTACTAGGAAGGGGTGGGAGGTAAGAAGCAAGCAAAGCTGTTCCCTCAAGTCCCTTTCTGAGTGTGTATGGAGCTTTTTTCCATCTACATAGGTGCAGCCGCACTGTCAGCATGGAGACTGGATGCCAGAATGTTCAACTCTGTTCCACCATCCTCAATGTGACCTTTCGCCCGGAAGTCATTGGACCATTGTTCTTCTTTCCTCTCCTCTACATGATCTTCCAACTTGGAGAAGGGCTGCTCCTTATTGCCATCTATCGGTGCTACGAGAAAATCAAGACTTCCAAAGGTACTGAGTTATTCCCACATTCCACTCCTATTTGGACCTGGGCCTGCCAAAACACAAGTTTCTAGCAGGGAGTTTTTTAGATGGGGTTTTAACTTTTATCAAGCCTCTAGGAACCAGATGGCACTAAGATGAAAGACCTGACTGACTGGAGTCCATTTCTGCCTTCTGGCTGGGAGAAACCCACAAGTTGGATTAAGCATGAGGAAATAGGATAGAATCACCCTGGACATTAGAAAATTCTGAGATACTGTATCAAAGGTCTTTACTCAAAAGCTCAAAACATTTTTTTAGGACTAAGCTCTGATGCCCCAGAATCAGGTCCTCAGCACCACTGGTACCCCCACCCCCAAATGATGGAAAACATACTAAAGCAATGTAGTTTTATATAATCTAGAACCCCCGTAAAAGAGGATTCTACCACCACAAATTTAATAGATTAATATTGAGCTCTTTTCTAAAAATGCTAGAGAATTCCAATATCTTCAACATAACTAACTTTAAAGCACCCTTTTAGCTCCAAGCATCTTATTTTAACCAAGACACTTAACCTTACTTTGTAGTATCAATACATTTCAGTACTTCATAACTTGAAACATCCATAAATTCTTCCTAATCACTTACCCAAATCCTTCAACTGCCTCAACTCCCATGTTATCTGAGGGTCCCCTTTTGTAGAACCCCTTAAGATTGTGATTTACACCTTTCATACAACTTTCCCTGGTGGAATTCGTATTATACTCACAAATGCAGGCTCTCATTTCAAAATTAGCCAAGATATAATAATCCTGGTTATTTTATTTATTTATTTTTTTGGGGGGAGAGGTTTTTGCCATAGGGTGCATGCACTCACCAGACAGAGAGAGAGACAGACAGAAAGACAGAAAGCGGGAAATCACCCCCAGGGGGGATGGCCACACCGCAATCCCTTCTCCATTCTCCGGTCGGGATCTTGGGCACGCACGCACACGCGCCTGGCGGGAGTTTTAAGCCACCGGGTCCGGGATGTGAACCACAGTCGACTACGTGGGAGTCCAGCAACATAGCCATCATAGCCATTATGCTAACTGCTGGTCCTCCGATCTTGGTTATTAAGCAACCAAAAAGTCACCAATAAATTACTGACCATGCTCCAGAATCATTTTATAAGCTGCTGTGCAAAACTAAAGTGAAGCTATGGGAAAGAATTTAGCCTGAAGCTTACCTGTAATCAAAGAGAGATTTGTTGTCCAAGGTTCCCTACCCTCCCTTATCCTATGTAGGGGACAGTGCACAGGAAGGGAGAAATTTATGGGAGAATTTTCTAGAACCAACCAACCAGATTCTCAGCTTTTAGTTCAGGTAAAGTCTGTAATATTCTCAAGAGGATACACTCTGGATTCTTAACTCTCATAACACGAAAAGAACTTACTCTCTAAATATACCTCAGAAGATCCCAGTAGCAAAACTAAACTAAAAAAACCTTCCTCATAGCTAGTGGCCCTGAGTAGCTGTTATCTGGGTGGAAGAATCTATCACAGGTTTTGGTGTTTTTGACTCTCACACCCAGAATTTTACACAAAGAGGGGAAGGTGGACCCTGACTCCTGTCTTCAAAGCTCATCAATTCCTCATTTGAAAGAAAGGAGGTAGACCAAGGCAGGAGAGGGGGAAGAGCCTGAGAATCTGGATAAATAACCCTAAAGCTCACTCCTCCCCCATGCCCTCCTAACTTCCAGAAGACAGCCTCGCTTACGCAAACCATCTTTCTGTTTGACTGTTATACAGAGAAGCCAGAGGCAGAATGACAACTTCAATACTCTTAACTTTTTAGGTTTCTTATTATTCGTACTACCATTCGGAAATTCAGGGAAAAGGAAATCAACCCACCAGAGTTTAGGAGTAAATCAGAGAACAGATGATAGAGGAATAAAGACCCATACAGCATAGCCTAGGGTTAAACTGGCATTCTTATATTTTCCACACTAAGTTTTATATTAACACCTGTCGTTCACTTTTCAAACCTTTGACCCTTAACTTTACAGATAAAACAAAAGTGATCTACACAGCTGCTAAGACTGAAGAAACAATTCCTGGCACTCTGGGAAACAGCACCCACAAATGTGAAGAGTACTCCCCTTACACGGTGGAAAACAGCACCCATAAATGTGAAGAGTACTCCCCTTCCACGGTAGGAAATGGCACCTACAAAGGCGAAGAGTGCTCCCCTGGCACAGCCTAGCCCTCCCCACAGTGGCCTGGATTCCCACCAGAAGGCAATACAGAAACCCAATGTGGTAAACTAGACGCAGCATGCAGCTAGTATGAGCAACAGATCAGCCTCGAATGAGTCTTTCTCCAGCACTTCTAGCAAATGTCAGAAATCAAGCCTCAGCCTGATGATTAAGGATATCTTACCAAGAAGCCTCACCTATCAAAACTTTAAAAGAAAGATGCACTCAGTGACTTCACTCTACAAAAGCAGAAATGAAATCTGCCTTTTGCCCCTAGATCTCTAGAGCAATGGCTGATAAGCCTAAGTCACTCAATTCCTGAACTAATCAATATATGGGTGTTTGACCCATTAACCAAATACCCAAATCCTGTCCCAAGTTATTATTTTTAATGAAAAAAAGAGTACTATAGTAGATTGCAGAAATTCCAACTTTCAGATCCCATTCCTTCCCTGTTGACATTATTCTTAGGGCGTAAAACGCCTGAGAAGTGTCGAATATGACAAATATACAAAAGTAGATATACTAAAATGCAGAAGAAATTTACTCAAAACAAATTGAAGATGGCTATTCCCAACTATAATGAAATGAAAGATTTTTGGGTAATATAATCCCAGAAAGAGAAAGGACAAACTAACAAAGAAAAGCCAGAAAATAAACATACATGCTAACATAACTATGGTTTTTTCAAATGAATCACCCCCAAAGCTTTGGGTTGCCAAAATGGTTTCTCAACTCAAATAGATAAAAATACTGTTTCAAAGTTTCTTTAATAAAATATAAACATTTTTGCACATCACTCACATACTAATAATGGCTAAGTACAAGATTATCAGGAAACCTAACACTTAACGAACATACAAAACACGGACCACGCCTTTTGATTTTATCATCGCATGTAAACAAGGCAATTTCAGGCCCTAAGTTTGACAAATGTCAAACAACTTTCAACACTAGAACAAGAGTCATCAATTTGGATCACTAACATCTTCTTATAAACAGATTTCTGGGGCCACCAAGTGGCATGTACCTAAGGCATGGACTTCCCCATGACTGACCACAGTTCAAGTCCCAGACACAGTGGCTTGAAACTCATGCCAGGCACTTGTACATGTATGCCCCAAATCCCAGGAGAATGGAGAAGGGATTGCTTCATGGCCATCCCCTCTGGGGGCTGATTACTCACCTTCCCTCTCACTGTCTCTTCAGAGAGCACATATGCCCTGTGGCAAAAACATTAAAACATTTCTGAAAAAACAACCTACCGTTTTTACGGATTCTATCTTTGTAAGATTATCCATTCAAATGGTTTGCTCCAAGTTTTCTCTAGCTGACATCATCTGCTAAGAAACTCAGCTCCATAGAACAGAGTTAAGTTTGCTTAGTTTTTTTTAAGGAAGGTAGAGGTGGCCTTCAAATATCTCACCCTCGATAAGGAAAACAGATGGAAGGAATACAAACATGTAACATAAGGAAGCTAGATGGAAGGAATACGAACATGTAACATCCCTACCAAGACTGGTCCTACAAGTTTTTTCAGAATTACATAAACACTGCTTTTATGATTTCTCAAGTCCTGGTTCTGAGAATTCATAACAACTCCATCCAGTTTTTTTCTTTTTTAAAGGATATATTTTATTCCCTCCTAATGCTTGCAGTAAACATCTGATTCTTTTTGAGTATAGAGTAAAGGAACAAAAACTGGCAAAATGTCAAAGTACGTACTGCTACACTACCCTAAGTACCATAGTTAAAGAGCCCCAGGAAAAGTACTACCTTTTGAAAGCAATTTCGGGCTGCTGGGTGCAACAGAGATACATTACAGAATAAGTTCTACCCATTTTTGAGCAAACCAGTCCCCTCAAAATTAACACTCATAATAAAGCATTACATTGCCTAAGCTTGTTTTAGAGACAGCTGGGAAGTGGCCTTTATATGAGAAGATCAAAAACCTTTCAAAACCTTTTGAATTAAGATACCCCCTCCCTAACTCCTAACTGGGAAACCCCAAAACTAAATGTTTCCAGTGCTTCTAATTCTACCTTCTTAAATAAAATCCCAGCAAAGTTAGGGCAGGAGAGTTTATGCCAAGAATGAGAAGGAATGGGTTTTTGAGGTACTAAAGCTAGAATTTCTGGATTCTTGTACCATTCCATTTATTCATTATTTGAAAAATCTCTGGATTTCCTCCTGTAAAATGATATGGCCTTATCAAGACTTTAGGCAGCTTTCACTATAGTTTCCACTCAAACATAATTGTCACATACATGTCCCAGGACTCCAAGCAACAGCATGGCAAAGTCCCTTAACCATCCCCACTGAGAAAAAGCTTCAGATAGCTTCTGATCATCAAAACTGAGTAACACTAGACAGTCAAAAACAATAACATCTGTAATTTGCTTCCCAAACACTTATGTATTACCCTTCTCTTGGCTCTGGAAGCCTTAGGTAACTTGATGTCAATACAATAAAGTCAAGTGATAAAGGACAGTATAGGAGAGACACAATTAATCTCAAACTTACTAGTTCAACTTTCAACTGTTGGCCTATATTTTCTTTAGCCTGGCAGTGGCAACATTAAGAAAAAAAAAAAAAGGGCCACCCAGTGACATGGTGGTTAAGGTGACTGGATCCCACATTGGCAGACTGTGTGACTCAAAGTCCCAGACCCGACGGCATGAAAAACATACCAGGCACCATATGCATGTGCCTAAAATACTGAGAGGAGAATGGAGAAGGGATTGTGGTGTAGGCATCCCTCTTGGGGGTGATTTCTCACTTTCTCTGACTCTGAAAAGCACACACACCCTATAGCAAACTAAAACAAAAAGAGAGACAGACAAATGCACCATACCAAACTCCAGAATTCTAGATATGTTGTATGTATTTCAAATCTACACAAATAGGGATGGGGGCAATAGAAAGCATAGAATTTCAGACAAACAAAAAGCAATTTTGTAGTATTTTATTATCAATAACAAACAGCTGCTTTAATGTGTCTGTCCTGCAGCTGTTGAAGAGTAGGACACCCCTGACCCTAACAAGAAAAACTCAAATTAAGCCTTTATGTACAAGCAAAGTTAGAGCTCTTTTAAGTGTCCAAAGCTATTAATTAGTTTAATAGACATTAAACTAATTCTCAATTAACATACTTGAATAACCAGAAACTAAAAAGTTCAAATTTTTTTCTAGTACAAAAAAATTAAATTGCTTTAGTTATAAAAGAGCTCTGTCAATATACACAAACTATTTACTTCAGACATTCACAAAAGTGTGAGCAGAAGGCTTATCAAAAAGACATTTAATACAATTAGTTTTCAACAACCCCTTGGTGGTCCACATCTACAAAGATATCCAGCCCAACCCATTCCCCACCCCCCAAACCCCACCCCCCACAAGAAAAGCACATACTTACCAGAATTTTTAGCAAGTATGGTTTGGGAATTTGTTTTTTTAAAAAAAGGCCCCCAGGGCAAGTTATTAACAGTTTAATTGCCACTGTCAGCTGATCTGGACCTTGACCTGGACCGCGACCTCTGGCGATCCACAGATGCTGGTGACTTAGATCTACTTGAAGAACCATGTTTCTGGCTCTTCTCAGGTACAGGAGACCTACTGACAGATCGGGACTTGCTCCGGCTCCGACTCCGGCTCCGGCTCCGACTCCTGCTCCTTGACCGACTGTAAGACTTTCGACTACGGGAACGTGATCGGCTACGAGACCTAGAGGAACTCCTGGTCCGGGATCGGGACCTACTTCTTGACCTACTATAAAAAGGCAGAGAATTGGGGGGAGGAGACAAGAAATGTACGAGGTCAGCCTACAAGACAGGCCCTACAAATCCATAAAATAAAACTTATAGCTTAAAAATATTAAAGAGATACCTGTGCCTTTTGCTGCCTTCAATTAATTTGATTTTTCTCCCATTTATTTCCTTTCCAGAAAGTTTTTCAATAGCATTCTTTAAGTCACCATAAGAGGCAAACTCAACCACCCTAAAATGGGGGGGAAAAAAACAGCCAGTCTTACAGTAGTCAGTTCTTTGTATCGATACATTCTGCGTCTATGGATTCAACAAACCATTGATCAAAAAACATTCTAGTAAATAATAAATTTTAAAAATATAGCATGACTGTGCACCTATCACTTGCATTGTAAAACATATGACACAGAGATAATTTAAAGTAAATGGGAGAATGTGCGTAAGTTATATGCCAATAATACACCATTTTACATAAGGGACTTCAGCATCCTGGATTTTAGTGTCAACGGGAAAGGAGTCCCTTTAACAGATCCCCAACAAATATGGAAGTGACTACATATTCATCTCCTAGTTTCTCACACTGCATACACTAGAGTCTAGAAATAATTTGTGTTCACGTTGTTATTGTCATATTAAGCCTAATTCTGACAAACATAGCATTACAGCAAAGTATGGCACTGCTGACGATTTGATCCAGATTAATTTTTTGCGCACGGGGGTGGGGGGGTGGGGGGGGGCTTTCTGTGCACTGAGGGATGTTTAGCCGCAGGCCTAGCTGTCCTCTACTCAATAAATACCAACGAGCACCTTTACTCTCAGAAATTTTTTTTTTTTGCTATAGGGTGTGTATACTTGCTGGAGAAAGAGCAAATAAGGAGAAATCAGTCCCCAAGGTGGATGGCCATGCCACAATCCCTTCTCCTTCATCCTCCTCTTGGGCTTTTGGGCATGCAGGCAGACACGCCCAGGATTATTTGCCAAGTTGCCAAGCCCAAGACTAGAACCACACAGTTGGACATATGGGATCCAGCCATCTTAAACACTATGCCACCTGGCTGGCCCACCAATAACATCTCTAACCAAAATTGTCTCCAGAGACAGCCAAATGTTCCCTAGGGAGCAATGTCCCAGTTAGAGACCTACTGCATTTAAGTATGTTAAAATTTTGGGCCAGCAGGTGGCATGGTGTTTAAAGCGCTGGACCATGGTTCAAGTCCCGAACCTGGTGGCTTACTTTCTCACTCCCCTGCCCCCAACCTCGTCTCTCTCTGGTCAAATCGAAAAATAGTAATAAAAAAATTAAATTAAATAATTATCTTAAATTTTTTTTTAAGTACTCAGAGTGATTCACAGCAAAATTTCCAGGACATCTTAAAAGTCTATGCAAGTGTATAGCAATCTAACACGCACTCACCCTTCATTTAATTTAGGTCGGTGTGCATCCGCAAAGGTTACTTCCCCAGCTTGTCTCATGAAATCTTTGAGATCCTTAACACAAGATAATTGTGTTAAGCAAAGTAGAGGAAAGCTGACACACAAACAAGCACATGATAAAAAAGAAAAAGAAAAAGAAAAAGAACAAAACAAAACAAGACTACTGAAAGAGAAGATGTTAGATAAAGTACAAACATGGTATTTACCACACTTGTATTCTATCAGAATTCAAAAATTATGTCAGGGCACGAAATAAGCAAATAGCATATTGCTTTTAAGCAAAATGCTAGAGGAAATTTGAGATTTTTAACATTAAAGTAGTATTAGTCTATGCTGAGTTCAGTACGAAAGGAAAAAAACAAACAAACAAAAAAACAAACAAAACAAAAAAGAACAGTACATATTTTTAAAGACTAAAGTAGAAGTTTTATATTAAAAAAAAAAACAGAACATTTACAAGACACCAGTTATTTTGTGCCCCATATGTCATTAAAAAAGTTTACTTTACCTTTATTAATATTTCCCTAGGCTAGTCAAGCAGCAAACCATTAATCGGTCGGAGAAACCTTCATGACATATGCCCGACTGGCTCTTCGCCACC